TATATATTTGGTGAAGCAGCAACATGGGCTAATTGTGCCCCAAAGCAAGAAGAGACAAGGCACACCCAAAGACCTCATACTCCTAATTTTTTTCAACCATAGTGATTCCTTACAGGATATCAGAGAGTACAGATGGCTCCTTCTGAGCAGTGACATCAAAACAGTTTATAGATCAGGCTCAGTACACTCACAGTGTTGGCTCTGCCTCTTGCCGATGGTACTTACCACCTCTAGGGAACAGTGTACTTCCTTGGGTTGCCTATAATAGATGATAAAATAATAAAATTTCCAAAATTTCCCTAGGACCTTTGCTCCTAGGGAATTGGGGCAATGTATTATTTATCTTTGTACCCCAGTGCCTAGCACATAGAAAGTGTTTCCCCAAAACTTGCTGAGATAAAATGGGAGAAGCCAATGCCTTGTCCAGGTTTCCCAGCCCTACACCAGTAATTTCTCCCACTATTGCACACATAATTAAAAGTGGCGTTTGCTGTTATGAGCTCCCAGGATATCATGTCTGCCCTGCCCTTTATAAAAGGGGCCCCATTCTCAGCCTAAAGATAAACTGGGGAACTGAACAGGGATGACTGTTCTCCAAGATCTACTATGTGGATGGTCCTTTACTAACTTTCTAATATCTTCCATGACCATGTGTGCACTAATGTTGCAATGGTTTTCCAAAGGCTGACTTTCCCCCACCCCAGCCTTCCCAGCAATTGGAAAAGCATTCCCATTACATGCTTAAATTAACAAATAAGCCAGAGGGTATTTTAAGCAGTTGGCCTTCAGTTCTGCAGAAGTCATCAAATTGCCCCAAACAAAAGAACTAACAAAACCAATAACAAATCACTAAGAACTGAGTCTAAAGATCTTTCTAGCCAGTGGCTCACACATGTAAGCCTAGCACTCTGGGAGGCCAAGGCGGGAGGACTGCTTGAACTCAGGAGTTGGAGACCAGCCTGAGCAAAAGCGAGAGTCCATCTCTGCTATAAATAGAAATTAACCAAACAACTAAAAATAGAAAAAAATCAGCTGGGCACGGTGGCACGTGCCTGTAGTCCCAGCTACCCGGGAGACTGAGGCAAGGGGATCACTTGAGCCCAAGAGTTTGAGCTTGCTGTGAGCTAGGCTGACGCCACAGCACTCTGGCCCAGGCAAAAGAGTGAGACTCTGTCTCAAAAAAAAAATAAAAAGATCTTGGCCAGGTGTGGTGGCTCACGCCTGTAATCCTAGCACTCTGGGAGGCTGAGGCGGGCAGATAACTCAAAATCAGGAGTTTGAAACCACCCTGAGCAAGAGCGAGACCTCGTCTCTACTATAAATAGAAAGAAATTGGCCAACTAATATATATAGAAAAAATTAGCCAGGCATGGTGGTGCATGCCTGTAGTACCAGCTACTCGGGAGGCTGAGGCAACAGAACTGCTTGAACTCAGGAGTTTGAGGTTGCTGTGAGCTAGGCTGATGCTACGGCACTCACTCTAGCCTGGGCAACAAAGCGAGACTCTGTCTCAAAAAAAAGAAAAAAAAGATATTTCTGTCTCTTCATCTAGAGCCCTAGCCCCCAGTTCCCTCTCTTGGCTGCATTTCAAAGGCAAAGGCTAGAAAATCACATATGGGCAGCACATATGTGATCACATATGTCATATAATCAGATATAATGTCATGAATTCCCAGGCATAATCCTAACCATCCACCGAGCTGAGTCCCAATCTTCAGTGATATGTGAAGTACTTCCGTGGAAAACACATCCTTTCAGCTAAGTTAGAAATACACTTTGCTACATGACAAATGGCTGGGATTATCACTTTTGCTTTCAGCAAACTCCTAGAGAAAATATGATGCCATTGATCAAATATCGAGATCTGATCTTAAATCTATTAATTCCTGGGGCTATCAGCAGGGGAGGAGGTCCATAAGGTCAGATAGGCTCCTCAAGGGTCCACAAAGGTTAGCTCAGTGCGGCAAGATCATATCCAATATCTACACCAGCCAAAGCACTTTAGTACCAGGCTGGGAACATCATAAACACTGAATACTTACTGAACTAAAAGGTGCTTATTGTACTTGGCCATTAAGAGAAAGAATAATTTCAGAGGCATCTAGGGTAGAAATTTAGTCACAATAAGTCAAAAGTTGACTCTGAGGTGAATAGAAAACAGCAAGTGAAACTGTTCTTCCACAAGCCTAGTTACAAAAAGAACAGAGCTGTGAGAATGCAGATGCAGCTTCAAGGGAAATGTTTTTGTTTGTTTTCACATGAGAAAGACTTGAGTGCTATTTTTTTTTTTTTTTTGAGACAGAATCTCACTCTGTTGCCCAGGCTAGAGTGCCATGGCGTCAGCCTAGCTCAGAGCAATCTCAAACTCCTGGGTTCAAGCAATCCTCCTGCCTCAGCCTCCCGAGTAGCTGGAACTACAGGCATGCGCCACCACGCCCAGCTAATTTTTTCTATATAGTTTTAGTTGGCCAATTAATTTCCTTCTATTTTTAGGAGAAACGGGGTCTCGCCCTTGCTCAGGCTGGTTTTGAACTCCTGACCTTGAGCGATCCACCCACCGCAGCCTCCTAGAGTGCTAGCATTACAGGTGTGAGCCACCACACCCATCCTTTGAGTGCTATTTTAAAGGGAGAAGAAGCAAGTAAATGATCCCTTTCATATGTCCCTATTGTACTGTTAGTTTTTTAATTCATTAGCTATACAATAATTTTTTATAGAGTGCCAACTATACATGAAGAACTGGTACAGATTCTAGGAAATACTTGGGTGAAAAAAACCTAAGCTCAAGGAGATTGTGTTATTTTCTCTTGAGCCTTACACAAACTCCCTAAATTTCTCAAAGGAAAGCCCCCCAAGCTCTTAGAATCCAGCCAGGGTTTGTCTGCACTCTGCCTGAGAACACGCCGCCGTGCAGCCTTGCACTAGGTCCCCTGCTCTGTCACCTCTTACAGACTGGGTCGTCCTCCAGGACAAGGACTGATCTGTCTTGTTTCTGCATCCCAGAGCCTGGCAAAGCATGAGGCAGGGGAGAGGAGTTGTAAATCTAGTTAGCAAATAGGTCACCTCCACAGAGGAAAGTTTGTTTGCTGTTAACCTTAAGAGGCTGTTTCTATGCTAAGTGTCTTGCCCACAGTCACACAGAAGAAAGTCAAGTCTCGGTAAGGCTGGGAGAAGGGCCTAATCTCCCGACGGCGATTCCAGTGCAATGCAGTGACAACTGGACAAGGGTCTCTCTACATACTTAGAACTGAAGATATGCTCTTCGGGGGCTTTTCTCAATGAAATGTTATGAGCTGTCACTATTGACTGAAATCTCAACTATTCCCTGAAATTTCTATGACACCTTCTGGTTTAGAAAGATGTTTAGAAACATACTCTTGCCCCTCCCCTGAAGGCCACACAGACACAAGCCTGCTCCAGAGGATGTACCCAGACAGTCATCTCTCTTCCCTTCTCATTCTGACAATCCTCCCCCCAGGGGAGCAGCTGAGTCCCCCCATTTTTACATTTCTCTCTCCTCAGAACCAGGATTCTGAATAAGCAATTTCAACACATGCCAAGGACCCGCAGAGCAACTGGCAAGCTCACACTGCCCCCTCCTGGCCCTTCACACCCTAACAAGGAGTATACATTCACTCTTCCCTGACCCTCTTTTACTCCCATTCCTGTTTAAAAAAAAAAAAAAAAAAAGCAGCCGAATGCCCCCACAAAAGTCAAATGTCTTTATTTTATATAAAAAAAAATTTGTACAGTTTTAGTTCCTATGTTTAAGAAAAAAAATCCCTAAAATTGCCATAATGTTTAGATCCACTGCAAACTGTAAAAACAAACTTTTTATATATTAAAAAAAAAATTTACATTTTACAACTTTCTACATGCATGCACAAGGTCTCAGCTCTGTAACCCAAAAGAAAGAAAGAAAGAAAAAAAAATATCTAGATCCAACAGTGGAAGATTCTACATTTACAATCTCACTTGGAAGGGACTCCAAAAGACCCCTTCCCTTTTGCGCACAGAGGAACAAATCACAACAATCACACAGTAGGACAGAATCCATCAGCAGATACTGCCCCATGGGAAGGGCAGAGGAAAGAGAAGACAGACAGACTGACAGACACCACGGAGGGGCCCACGGGGCTCCTCTGGGCCCAGCGGAGGGAGGCGGAGACAAGCACAAACCCTGGGAAACAGGTGTTGCAGAGAGAGGTTGCAGGCATCCCGATGTCTCGTCACTGTGTTGCGTCAGGGTTTGCAAGGGGAATACTGGGCGGGATGGGGAAGTGAAAGATTAAGGGCTGAAATGGAGGGGGATGGGAAGAAAAATGAGAGACTCGGAAATAAACAAGCGTAAACAGAGGGAGCACTAAGACTCTTAAGACTCGTCTGGGAGAAAGGGACCAATGGGGAGGGGGACAGCGGCAGAGCGGCGAGGTAGGTGAAGGACCGAGGCACACAGTGTGTTGGTGTGGAGGGAAGGAGGGCAAGCGTTGTGAGGTGATGAGAAGGGAAGCCCAGTAGGCACGGCAGGCATGAGCTAGGAGGCCATGAGTGACAGGTAAGAGCGCTGGAGAGGCCCAGCCACCGCCCCCTGTGGCGGGGGAGGGGCGCCAGGCGGGAGAGAGAGCCCCCCATCCGTCCCTGGTCCCGCGCTGGGGCAGGTAGACTGGGGACACTGCTCAGAGCAACTGAGGCAGCCGTAGGCCCACAGCAGTTCACAGCATGGAGACAACTTCCCGCGGAGGGGAAGCAAAGACAAAACACACAGCTTGACAGTCCATCCTGACGTTTCAAAAAATAATAATAATAAAAATCAAAGACAAAGATACCACAGTTCTGACGCAGAAGACCAAAATGCTACCATTCTCAGTCACAGCCCTTAATGCTTAGTGAGAGAGTCGGAGGGGAAAAGAATTCTTTTTGCTTTTAGGAAAAGGGAATGAAAAAAATCACAGTGATTAAAAACATGGCAGGTTCTTAAAATAAACATTCCCGCCCCCCCCACGCCCCTAATCTAGGGCAGCAACTGAGATCCCCAATACTTTCCCTCTCCCCATCCCCAACCTGCTCCCCAAGCCCCGCCACACTCCATCCTGCCCGCTAAGGCGATGTTCCGGTCACCATCCAGGCCCTGTTTTCCAGGATAGTGAGGTATTTATGTGACCCAGAAGGGACTCCTCTGAAACCAGGTTTTTGAAGAGAAGAAAAGATACCTTCCCAGACCCCCAAGACAGGACGTATTTCACACAAGCACATCCCAACGCCCCCAGCTCGCCCCCCAGGGGGACAAGGTAAGCACTGGCTGATGAGCCCCTCTCTAGCAAGTGGTGGGGGAGGGGAACAGGTGTGCCTTTTCTGAAAGGACAGCAGGAGATGCCCATCACTAGGCTCCATCACCCTCGGGGCTGCCACTAGACCACAGAGAGGACGCCTCCCAGGGGAGAGATCATGGGATCCCTCCGCAAGGCAAGTACTGATGAGTTTTCCAGGGGAAACAAGGGCCTATAGAGGACACTGAGTTATTTAGAGGCCTGGCCCAGGGGCATGCTCCATCCCAGCCAGCGGAAAGGTCCTCCAGGAGGATCCTGGCTGGAGCATTATGGGTACTTCCTATTTCTATCCTCCTTGGCAAAAAGCACACAATTTAAAAGTGTCTAATTTAAAGGCTCAGATTCACACTGAAATGTGTTAGAGGGCCAGCAAATTTTGCTCAAAATGAGATCAAAATTATTGAGATTTTGGATTTGGTGCAAAGATTATGGAAGCTAAAATAGGGTGAGAGCCTAAGTACCCACAAAAGGCAGTAATCCTGGTCCCTCACCCCAATACAGAGGGAGCCCAGAGCCCGGAGAATCAGGCAGGGAGAGAAGGGGTAGGGACCCTGGAAGGCCAAGAAAATAGACCCCTGAGGCAAAGAACTGGACTTAAGGCAGGGGATGAGGAGGAGCTGCTGGCTCGTCCCCAAGAGATGAGGCAACAGTCTCTGGAGTCAAGAGAAGACAGCAGGACAGGGGGTGGCTGGTGAAGGAAAAAAAAAACACTGGTCTAAGATTATGGGGGCTGGGTGGGGGTCTCTAAGCCGCTAAGTCTGTATAGGAGTCTGCACGCCATCCTTCACTAGGGAGGGCAGGAACAAAGGTGAGGGGAGGTCAGAGGGCAGGGGTCAGTGATGGGTCTCTCCAAAACCTCAGGGATCTATTCTGCCCTTTCACTCAGGGGCTGCCTCGGAAAGACACATTGGAAGAAAGGTACCTTCCCTAAGGCCCAGGAAAGGTGGTCATGGAGTCTTTCCACCTGTTTCCCTGTGGTCAGGTGACCATGCAACTCCTAAAGGGAAGCTGGAGACTTCTGGGAAAAGGATGAGATCTTCCTTTGCTCTAAATATGTGTGGCTGGAGGAGATAGGCTCCACCAGCCGGAAGCAAACAACCCCGGCAGGGAGATTCCTAACTCAGCTGTGTGGCAGGAGTATCCTTGCCCCGGGACTCAGGGTTTGTTACGTGGGAGGAGAGGCAGGAGGGGGCAGCTGCTGCCCTGGAGGGGTTTGGCACTGTGTTCTCTGGTGTCACATCCATGCCACCAGAGAAACCCTGTCGGGGCTACTGAAGAGACCCGCTACAAGAACTTGGGTTTGGGAGTGGGGGCTCAAGAGGAGAGGTATAAGCAGCAGGGCCCTGTGCCCTTTCGGAAGAGACTGCCATCCAGGAAAGGGGAGGGAAAGGAAAGGGAGAAGGGCACCGACACCTGCAGGGCCCGGGGTTACACAAAAGTTGGCAGGGTGGGGGGTGGTCCCAGGTACTGCTGACAGCAGGATGGTCTCTCCAGATTCACACGGGGTAAAATGAGGAAGAGGGGAGGAGACGGGTGGGGTGGGGGTTGGGGGAGGGGTAAGTTAAATTCAAGTAAAAAAAAAAACAAGAGCAAGAGGAAGAAGGGTGGTAGGGGCGTGGCTGGGCCTGAGAACCGTGCCCCTCCCACCCCCTCAGGAGCCCCCCAGGGTCTCCCATTCCCCCTGCTGTTGCACAGTCACACTGAGGTCTCAGACTGCAGCCTCATGACAAACTTGTGCGACTTGGGATCCACAAATTCCTCGGAGAGTTTGAAGAATGGGACCTTCTTGGTGCTGACCACCAGGCTGAAGTCCTGGCGTTTTAAGAGGAAAACGATGCCATCCTTGAGCCCGTTGGTCACCGGTTCCTCGCTCACCAGTGTCCACTGTTTGGCCAGCCAGCGTTCCTTGTGGTACTGGATGGTGGGTCCGGCCGCCAGGTAGCGCTCCAGGAAGGCCTGGGAAGGAGGGAAGGAGCTGTGTAGGAGTGAAGGAGCTGTGTAGGAGTCTCTCTCACTCACCCACTATCCTTTGTCCCCTGGGGCGCAGCTTCTACAGACAACTAAGATGTCCCTGAGCTCACTCTATGCATATCAACCAGAATCTCAGAATGGTAGAGCAGGAAAGGGCCTGAGATCAGCTGCTGCAGACACCTGTTTTATAAAATAGAAAGCTGGAGGCCAGGCGTGGTGGCTCATGCCTGTAATCCTAGCACTCTGGGAGGCTGAGGTGGAGGATCACTTGAGGTCAGGTGTTCAAAACCCACCTGAGCAAGAGCGAGACCCCCGTCTCTACCAAAAATAGAAAAAATGAGCCAGGCATGGTGGCAGGTGTCCGTCCACCTACTCAGAAGGCTGAGGCAGAAGGATCATGTGAGCCCAGGAGTTGGAGGTTGCAGTGAGCTATGATGATGCCACTGCACTCTACCCAAGGTGATGCAGTGAGACTCTGTCTCAAAAATAAACAAAGATAAAAGAGGAAGCTGAAGCCCACAAGTGATGCAGCTCCTCAGAGTCCGGACTGGAGCCTGGTGCCCCTGACACCATCTTCTGCCCTTCTCCCTACACCCAGCCAGGCACCTAGGCAAGCCCTCCCTCATTCTTTCTTCCTTCCCACACAGCTCCTATGATTCATGCCAACCGGGAGGGAGCCAGAGATGTCAAGGTTAAAGTGCAACATCTTTAGTTACCTGTCCACCAAGGGGGCTCAGGGAAAGCAATTCTAGGAAGTTGGCAATAGAACTGAGGGACGGGCAATGGCTCAAAATGAGCACAGAGCAAAGACGATCCAGAGGAGGGGAAGAGGGTAGGGGGTAAAGGTGGAACTTGGATCTGGAAATCCCAGAGCCCTTATAGAGATGAGAAATAGGTCTCAGCCATCCCCAAAATGATCTCAAAACCCCCATTCCCCTCATCCACCTTCACCCGATGCAGACAGGGCGGATGGGGTGGGGATAAGAGAAGAGATTGTAAGGAAGAGGAGTAGATGAGAGAAAGAGAGGGGTGGGAAGTGAGGAAAGAAGTGAGAGACTAAGGGGAAATGAAGGTGGAAAAGAAGAGAAGCTGGGAAAAGAGGAAGGACGATGGGCAGAGCAGGCCTACCTTGGGCGTCATGTCGTGTGTGATGCAGAACTCCAGGTGCTGCAAGATGCTCTCCATGGTGTGGTAAGGCTGCTGCTTGGTGGTCCGAAGGTACTTCTGCATGGCACGGGCCATGGATGCGAATATGGCCTGAGCTGCCTCCCGGGGGTCCATCACCTCTCTGGGATTCTTCTGCTCCTCTTCCTGCAGCCGCTTAATGTGCGTGAAGGCCTCCTCCACTGCCACCACAAGTCTGAAGGACAGGTAAGGTCTGGACCAGATGCCCATTCTCTCTTCCCTGCCCCCTGGCCCCAACCGTCCAGCAGCCTGAGTGGGGTCAGGCCTTCATGCTGTCCCCAGGAGCAATAGCGCCTTTCCCCCACTGGGAATGGGAAACAGACATAGAGCTCAGTGAGCTAAGCCCAAGGACACAAAGAGGACAAATTCAGAGAGAGAAAACCAAGAGAGAAAAGTAGGAACCGTGCTATAGGAAAGACCAAGCATTCTATCAAACCCTAGAAAAATTCATCTGTCTTGGCAACTCCAAAAATAAAAAAAAAGAAAAAAAAAAAAAAAAAACCTAAAAAAATTTTTTTTTTTTTTTTTTTTTGAGACAAGGTCTCACTCTGTTAACCTAGCTAGAGTACCGCGTTGAGTCATAGTTCACTGTAGCCTCAAACTCCTGGGCTCAAGGGATCCTCCAGGGGTTGCAGTCTTCAAACTTAGCCCAAATAAACTCTCTAATTATATAAAAAATAAATTTTTTTTTAAAAAGGGATCCTCCAGCCTTAGTTTCCTGAGTAGCTAGGACTATAGGCACATGCCACCACACCCAGCTTATTTTTAAACTTTCTGTAGAAATGGGGCCTCACTATGTTGTCCAGGCCTGGTCTCAAACTCCAGCCTCAAGCAATCCTCCAGCCTCGGCCTCCCAAAGTACTGGGATTATAGGGATGAGTCACTGAGCCTCACCAGGAAAAGCCTTCCTAAACAGGACACCCAAATCACACTTCATCAGGTCAAAAGTTAACAGGTATGATTACATCAAAATAACAGATTTCTCTTCAACCATGACAGTGCTGACAATATTAATTGACATCTGAAGGGGGTAAAGGGAAATATATGCAGCATCTAAAACCAGCAAGAGATTAACATCTAAAACGTACAAAGATTCCCTACAATTTCTATCAAAAAGAAAAAAGCAAGAATCCTATAGAAAAACAGGCAAAGGAAGTGAACAGAAAATTCACAAGAGGCTTGAAAGGCTAAAAAATATACAAAGTAGTTCCTGGCTAGCAATTAGAGAGACGCCAAGTTAAAACATTAATAAGATACTAACTATACATCAAGATGGAAAAAGTAAGAAGATGACTATGATCCAAATATTGAATAGGATGTTGGGAGTAGTCTACGCAGTGAGAAGATGCAACAAACTGGATGTACATACAACGTAGATGATTCTCAAAGAGTATTAAGGAGGAAGCAGGAAAAAGAAGTCAGTTTGCATCAAAAGCATAGAGACAAACAAGCCAACACTCCATTTGTACAAGCACACACACGGGTTTCAAGGAAATCAAAAAATTGAAGTGGATGCTAAAATGTAGAGGTGGAGAATAAAGGTAGGATTGGGGGAAAGGGAAACAGAGAATTAGGCACCGTGAAGACCCACATGATGGCTGTGTGTTAAGAGCTGCAAAGGGTGATTCACGCAATTCTCTGCACTGGAAGTTCCAAAACCAAAATAAAAGCCTCTGGCCTAAGAGCAGGACCAGCCTGAGGTGACAGGTCAAAGAAAGGAGGCGAGGCCTGTGGCTCAGTATCCAGAAACCCGGGAACCCGGGGTCAGGATGGGACTCTGGGTATGTGTGGACCTGTGCACTGCTACAGTTTCTGTTTATTCTTCTGCTTCTCCTAAGTTTCTCAGTAAAGTTCCTTTTGAAAAGATCCTTTTGTCCCAGGTAAACCAAAGGAAAAAATTTTCTCCCAGTTATGAGCAGGGTAATGGGGGAAAGATCGAGCCCCCTAAGTGCCAAGAAGGGTGGTGGCAGCACAGGAGACCCAAAGACCCTAGCAGGGCAGAAGGTAGAGGGGTAAGGACATCACTAGTTTGGGCTGCCTCCCTCCCCTGCAGCCAGAAGATCCTGGGGGAGGTGGCGCGGAGGGGAGGTGCAGGGTCAAGCCCCAAGGCGCCCTGCTCCTCCCCTGTAGAAATCCCTACACCAAGGCGGGTCCTGGCAGCCGTAGGCACCAAGAAGGATCATTCAGGCATGACTTAAGTTCACATAATAATGTGAACAGGGAAAAGGAGGGAGGACAGCATTTAAGAATTTACCAAAACATGGGCACTAGAACCTCATTTTCTGCAGACAAAAAAAAACAAAAAAAAAAAACACCCACGTGCTGAGCAAGCCTTCAAAATCTACTGGTAGGAAGTCTAGTCCAGCCTCAGTCCCTGCTGTTGCAGGTAAGGTTCAAGCCCCTTTATAGGGTTCTTACCCCACTGTAATAGGCAGAATTCAAAGATGCCCCTTGACTTCCGCCAGATTCCCATCCCTTCGTTATTCAACAATCTCAGTATGTTTTGCAGATGTAATGAAAGTGCCAAGTCAGCAGCCTTAAAAGGAGATTATCCTGTTGAGCCTGATCTAATCATACGAGCCCTTTAAAAGCAGAGTTTGCTCCGGCTGGTTGTAGACAGAAGTAGTCGGAGAGACCTGCTCCTGCTGGAAAAAGTGAACTTCCATCTTGTAAACTGCCTACGCGGCCACATGACCAGGAACTGAATTCCGCCAACAAGAGTGAGCCTGGAAGAGAAGCCAGGCTCAGATGAGACACGTCTTGATTTCAGCCTGTGAGGCCTGAGCACAGCATCCAGCTAGCCTGCTCCTGACCCATGGAACTGGGAGATAACGAATGTGGGCTGTTTCACAGCAGCCGAGTTCATGGAAAATCCCACCCGTATTATCATTGCTCTGTATTTCCAGCAGTTACAGAAGTCCCTTGGTCTTCCTGTCCCCAGCTCACCCCACAGGCACCTCCCGCCACCTCTTCTCCCCCAGGGACCCACCTGGCCCTCCTCTTCCGCACCCTCCGCTCATGCTCAGCCTCCTCATAGTAGTACTCGTTGTGGCTATTGTCCCGCCTCCGGGCTGCTGCTGCAATCACAGCCCGAGACTGGCCCGTGGAGTTATTGGTGCTGTTTTCTGCACAGGAGCAGGAGAGAGGGGATGGTCACATCAGAGTGTGGCCTCTCTTCCCACTCCATGAACTCTGGAGACAGCAGCCTGACATGTCCAGAGGAAGCTGTCCCCACCATCCAGCAATACCTCCCCTTCCCAACCCTCCTGGCCACCTCTGGGACAGGCCATAGGAAGTCAACAAGGAAAGCAGTGAAGGGGCAGGAGTCCTGCACACGTTCCTCCCTGGGTCAAGAGGTTCTGCAGCTCAGGGAGCCAAAAGGCTTAAACCAGGGGTGATGAGCAGACACAGAGGAGCCAGATCAGGGGACACGCCGTAGCATAAAGGGACAGCCAGTAGAATCAGCAGCTAAGACCAGCCACCTGGAGTCAAGGGGAATGACAGAACAGAAGGGGCTGGGACATGGGCCGGGGAAAGGAAAAAGCAAGGGAAGAAGGGTGAGAGAGATGAGGAGGTAACTTGGAGTCCTGCAGGGGAAGAGGCCGGGAGGGGCCGAGGAGCAGGGCTGCTCACCCTCTCCGAGGGAATACACCTTGAAGCCAGACACTTTCTTGGCCAAGACGGACTTGGGCAGGTTGAGGAGGGCAGGGTTGTAGACAGGGAAGTCATGGTAATACTTCTCCAGGATCCACACTGCCACGCGCTGGATGCTGTGGGGGAGACGGCAGGGAGGGAGGGAAAAGGGACAGACAAGGGGCATAGGGGAAGGGACACATCAGGGAGCTTGGCAGGGCAGGAGAGGACACAGGACAGGGACAAGCTGCTTCCAAGAAGCCTGGCTCAGGCCTGAAGTCTACTCACCAGGCTCCCAAGCCTCCCCCAGGGCTGGGCCTGCTAGTCTTTCCCTGCCTTGCCGAAGCCCAGGGGAGAAAGGGCACTGGGCCTGGGTCCCCAGCCAAGGGTCACCTCATTCCCTCCAGCATTCCCCCAAGATTCTCTATAGGACCCAGGACCTGCCACTGATACTCTGTATAGCCTGGGGCAGGAGTGGGGACCCTGCCCACAAGTTTAGGGGAAGGAAGAACTCTCCTCCCTATCTCTTCCTCCAGGCCCCTCCTCTGGCCTGCTCATTTCACTGAGCGCTCACAAGAAGCTGTGCCTCCAAGAATGGACTAGAAAAGGAATTCCTAAAAGCCTCTGCTTGTGCCCCTCGTTCTTCTCCCCTTTGGTTCACCCCCCTCTGAGAGTCCCCATCTCTAACTGCCTGTTCATTCTCAACTCTTAACTCCCACCTGTCTTGTGCCACAACCCTGCACACGACCCTCCCATTAAGCAGCAAACACCGTTCAAAACCTACTGTGCACAAAGAACTCCTTCCCACACACAGCCCTCCCAGCCATCACCTTCAGCCCCACCATCACGCCCTCCCATCCTAGTGGATTCTCCACCTCCCCCTGCCCACGCCGCCTCCCGCCTACCCCACGCGCCCGCACCTGAGATGGCCCACGTTGTAGAAGCGGCTGGCCCCGTCGGTGGAGCGCACGACCTTGAGCGTGAACTGAGGCTGGAGCTGGCGCAGCTCCAGCAGGACGACGGCCAGGTAGTGCACGAAGAGGAGGGCGTCCACCAGCGACACTGCGAACTGCACCACGCCCTGGTAGCTGCGCTCGCGCGCGTCCAGGATGCGCACGCCGTAGAAGAGCCAGTAGGAGACGACGAGCAGGAAGACCAGCACCATGAGCAGGGCGCGCAGCACGAAGACGCGCGGCAGCGAGGCCTTGGGCCGGCGGAAGAACAGGGCCCAGCTGCCCAGCAGCAGGATGAGCAGCTTGAAGGCCACGGAGATGAAGAGCCCCTCGCAGGCCGTCCCGCACGGCTCCAGCTCCTCCCGCCACAGCAGGGGGGGCAGCAGCAGGAAGGCCAGTGGCGTGAGGAAAGACAGCAGCGCCAGAGTGGCCCCCGCCGCCACGCCCAGGTGGCGGGAGCAGTCCAGCGGGACGCTGTCCTCCATGTCCTTGGCGATACGCGTGAGGTCATCGTGGGAGATGCTGTGCTCTGAGGTGCCGGTTACTACTGTCGTCGTTTCCCCCCAGTTGTCATCCTGCCGGCAGGAGGGGGCAGCACGATGAAGGGACACGGATGCGGGAAGCGGGGGACATGAGAAATGACAAGGGAGGGAAGAGAGGGGAAGGCAAGGAAAAGAAGGCAGAAAGAAGAGAGGGTAATCAACAAATATGCAACCATCAAAGTATTTACTGTGTGTCCAAGTCTGGCTTCTGCAGATATCCAAGTTGGAGACCCAGGCACTTGGGGAGCTCTACGCAGGTCAGTGAGAGAGGAAAACTGCACGTGCATCAGTAACCCCCAGAGGAGAGAGCAAGAGACACCAGGACTGCTCAGGCAGTGACTGGGATCCGAGGGCAGACTTGCCAGGCAAAGCAGGCAGGCTTCCCGGGAATGGTGGAACCTGAGCTGACCCTTGGGGACAAGTGACATGAAGAAGTTGGACTGAATTAGTGGTTGCCAGCCCCAGCCGCACACATCTGAATCACCTAGGGAGGTTGGAAAATAATGCCCATTATTGGAGAATGGGATCTGCTTGTCACCCTTTTCTTTTAAAAAGCTCCCTGGATGATTCTAAGGGTCATCTAAGACTGAGAATCACTGAACTCAATAATCTCTAAGGGCTGGCTACACAAACTGTGATCTTCGGACCAGCAGTGTGGACATCCCCTGGGAGCTTGTTAGAAAGGCAGAAGCTCAGGCCCACCCCACATTTACTGAGCCAGAACCTGCCTTTTAACAAGATCCCCGTGGATCACTAGAACATTACAGTTCTAGAAGTACTGCCCTAAGTTCCCTCCAGCTTCTGCATCATTCCATGATTTCAGCAGAAGCTAGAGGAGGCACACCCAGGGCAGGAATGGCGTGAACTGAGGTACCCGGAGAACTATGAGATCGGGGATCCACATGTAAGAGCAGAGTGTGGCACAGCCAGGAAAAGGGGGCTGTGCAGGCCATACCGCAATGGCTAGACAGTAAGCACGTGTTCTCCAGGCGTGGAGAGCCACTGAAGGTTTCTGATTCAGGGAGTAACCTGACAAAAGCAGCATGGAGAAGAAAAGAGGCCATCAAGGAGGTTGGTGGGGAGAGAATGATCAGGGCACGGTGTGAGGGACACAGTGCAGATTCAAGGCCGCTCTAGGTCTCTGGTCTGGTCTGCAAGTCCAGCTCTGCTGGGACATCTGAATGCCCACAGCATAGGGGCCACCTGTTCCTGGAACCAAGGGAGTAGACAGGCTGAGGTGCCCAGGTGGCCTTCTGAGTGCGGTCTGCTCAGGCTGTTTCCCTGCAGTGGCTGAGGGCCGTCCCACAGGTGGGTCCCAAGACCATGAGTGGCCTTCAGCACCTGCACCCTTCACTCCTCGGACAACCAGGGGTTATAGAGTCATGTCCTGACACCCAGGAGATTCAGGCTACAGGACTGAGACACTGGGGTCGGGGGAGCAGACGACAACCTGGCAGGGCCAGTGATGAGGGAGGCTGAGGAATCTCCTCTCTGCAGGATGGCAGAAGAGCCCAATCTGAAGATGGAAGGCAGATGCACTGACCCCCAGACATACCGCCTACCCTCTCCAACGATCTAGGGCTCAGGAACTCCCCCTCAACAGCAGGTGAGCCAACCATGTCTCAGGGTCACTTCAAGAACTCAGGAAGCCAGGTCCCAGGAAGAAGGGATTGAGAAAGAAGGAAAAAGAACATTTCCCTCAGGTATTGACCTGCTCCCAAACCCAGGAATTCCAATGTCAGCCACAGAGATTTCTTCTGAGGCAAACGGAGCTGGGAGTCTCCAGCCCTGTAAGATGATCCCAAGAAGAATGAGTAAGAGGAGCATGTACTCTTAAATGATCCCAAGAGGAGCATTTAAGAGTAAATGCTAAAATAATGAAGACTGTTTCCTTGTGATTACATGCAGATCATGCTATTTGACTGCAACGCCCACATCCCCCTTCAACCCTCAGCCTCACTTCTCAGTCCCCCTTCCTCTCTTCCCACACCTCCTTTCCTAGACCTAGGTGGTGCTAGTCCACAGGCTGCCACCAGGGGGCACAGGAGTGCCCACACCTTAAGGCTCAGGGAAAACTCAAGACTCGCCCTCACACCCCCGCAGGCCCCACCCACCACCCCCCTGCCCACCTACTCCAGACGCCCCACCAGCCTGACTGGCTGGGATCCGCTCCAGAGGAGCTGGGCGATTCCCATTACACACCCGGCTACCTCTCTGGGGATAAGGAAGGAAGAGGCTGCTGCTTCCAAAGGGGTCTCCACAGAAATTCCCTGAATTAGACTAAAACAAGGTCTTATCCTGGGACACTAAGCTGAGGGAAGTATACCACAAGATACCCTCCCTGATCTGGCCTCTTCATGGAGAGAACAGGTTTCCAGGCCCTTCCGCTCTCCGATGGAGCCTCCAGCTCCTCCAAGGAGCATTCTGAAAATGCCAGGTCCGGCCACTGCATCGTGGCTCACGCTCGACTGCCCCCCGCGTGGACTCATTGTCCAGCAGGGGCTCTCCTGGAGCCTGGATTGTCACCGACTTGTCCCCACGGCTCCCATCTCGGCTCTTGGAGCGGTGTCGGTCCCGGCGGTCCCTGCAGCAGGAAGCCAGAGGAACAGACACAAAGTCGAGGGAAGGACCAGGGGCTTCTCAGCAGCCACCCCCACCGCGCCACCCCACCGCCCCACGGCCGCACGTGCCCACTTCCCCACGGGCGTCACCCCCACACGCATGCCCACCTGTGTTTGCGGGAGCTGCGGGAGTGGCCCGACTTGTAGGAATAGCCCGAGTACTGGGACTCGGTGTCCATGGCGTCTGAACGCCGCGCCTTGTAGCGCTCCAGGGCCGCAGGCTGGGGCCTCTTGGGGGGCCCCACAGCCACCTCCTTCAGCACCGGCTTCTTCAGGCCAAGGGGCACCCTCAGGAAATCAACCGTCACCCTGAGGGACTCTATTTTGCTGGACAGGTGGGCTTGTCTCAGAGAAAATCAAGCGACGCTCCTGATGAGATGAAGAAGCTGGTTAGAGGTAGCTTGAGCTCCTTGTGCGGTCAGGGCAGAAAGAAAGACCGTCCCCAAACGGAAGCCACAGTTGGCTCGGATGAGCCTAGCTACTGCCTGAGCGTATTTCCACCCAGGTTCCTGCTCTGTCCAGTGGGCCCAGTTCCTCCTGCCCCACCTCCTAAAAAGAGCCCCCCCCCACTATGCTAAGGGCTCACGCATGCGGGGGGAGATGGCCAGCAAAGGTTCTCATCCAGAATGACCCAACCCTGAACCTCCTGGAGGGGAGACTCAGGGCCAGAGCTTCCCTCGTCTCAGCCAGGAAAACTGAGGCTAGGAGAGGGTAGGTTCTGGCCAGGCCGACGGCTGAACCAATGGAGACCTCAGACAGCAGAAGGCAGCTGGTGGCTTCTGTCCAGAGGCTGGCTACCCCAGGCCCTTCCCTCCCCCTCCATCCCTTCTCTCTTCACTCATAATTTCTGCGCGTGCACAGAGGAGGCTGCTTCTCTTGGCACCATCTCTCAGCACCTACTTCAAACACACCCACAGTTACTGGCCAGGTCAGGCTGGTGGCTCTCCTTGAGGCTGTATGTGTAGTGTTTGTGTATGCGAGCATGCACACTAGGGGGTGAGGGGTGGAAACTACTGATAATAAAAGGTAAGGAGGCCGGCTCCTAGCACTCTGGGAGGCCGAGGCGGGCAGATTGCTCGAGGTCAGGAGTTCGAAACCAGCCTGAGCAGAGCAAGACCCGCCGTCTCTATTACAAATAGAAAGAAATTAATTGGCCAACTACATATATATAGAAAAAAAAAATTAGCCGGGGCATGGTGGCACATGCCGTATAGTCCCAGTACTTTGGGGCTGAGCAGCAGGATTACTTGCCAGGAGTTTTGATAGTGCTGTGAGCTAGCTGCACGCCAGCGCACTCGACCTCTAGCCTGCAAGCAGCAACTCGTGGTCTCAAAAAAAAAAAAGATAAGGGGTGGGAGGAAAGTACAAGTGGAAACTTGCATTCTTCTCCAAAAGCCTAAAGACCTGAAATAGGCAAGGTATGGGTTTCTCTGGCTACTTATGGGCTAAGGGGCAGCCTCTTTCAACCTTCTAATTATGCATAAGAGAAAGACCTCTCCTTCTCCCTTCTTCCACAACTCCCACCAAAATCCTGCTCACTCTTTAGAGCCCAGCCCCCACCCCTCACAGGAGCCCCCACCTACTCCAGCACCCAGTGTTATCTTCCCCTCGGACCTCGACTCCACTAATAACTATCACCTGCCTTCATTGACTGATTCATCTAATCTTGTTTAAATACCTTCTACCAACCGTATACTTTGCTGGGCCCTGGGTATATGGTGGCGTAACAGACCTTGAGTTTACAGTGTATTGGGGAAGAGGCACACTAAACAAGCACTCAGGTAAATGTAAATCACCAACTGTAGGGGTGATGGAAGGAAAAGAACAGGAAAAGGTTCTGGAAAGTCTCTCTGAGAAAATTACACCTAAGCAGAGGCCTGCAGAAAAAGAGTGGAGGGAAAAGCCCGTGGAGCAGAGGAATCACACAGGCGAAGGCCAAAGGCGGGAAAAAGCTCCGTGTATTTAAAGAACCAAAAAAAGGCCAGTGGAGCCAGAACTGATGAAGGCAGAGGGCAGTAGAAGCTGGCGCTACAGAGATAGCTAGGAGCCAGGTGAAGGGCTTGGGTTTTATTCTAAGGCCATAGGAAACCTTTGAAGAATTCAGCTATGCAGATAAGGATTTAAAAGGGGGAGAGTAGAAATAGGTAGGAGGATCAGTAAGGAGGCTACTGCAGTATCACAGGCTTGGCTAGGGGTAGAGCAGCAGCAGAGGTGAGAAATAGTCATGTTTGAGACTTACGTTGGTCCAATCAACAGACCTAAGGAAAGATTGGCTGAAGGGGAGGGGAGCATCAAGAATCCCTGGCCTTAGCAGGATTGCTTGAGCCCAGGAGGTTGAGGTTGCTGTGAGCTAGGCTGACACCGGGGCACTCACTCTAGCCTGGGCAACAAAGTGAGACTCTGTCTCAAAAAAAAAAAAAAAGAATCCCTGGCCCTTGGCCGGGCACGGTGGCTCACGCCTGTAATCCTAGCACTCTGGGAGGCTGAGGCTGATGGATCGCTTAAGGTCAGGAGTTCGAAACCAGCCTGAGCAAGAGCGAGACCCCGTCTCTACTATAAATAGAAAGAAATTAATTGGCCAACTAAAAATATATAGAAAAAATTAGCTAGGCATGGTGGCGCACGCCTGTAGTCCCAGCTACTTGGGAGGATGAGGCAGGAGGATCGCTTGAGCCCAGGAGTTTGAGGTTGCTGTGAGCTAGACTGACACCATGGCACTCTAGCCCGGGCAACAGAGTGAGACTCTGTCTCAAAAAATAAATAAATAATAGTAAAGAATCTCTGGCCGAAGCAAGGCAGTGGATGGTAGTGCCATCAGTAAGGCAGTATCATAAGCAAGTTTGGGGAGGATGATGAGCTCAGTTTCCAAGGTGCTAAGTTCATGGCCATGAGACAGCAGACAGCTGGGTGTCAAAGGAGCTGGACTCCAAAGAGAGTCTGAGCTGGAGGTATGTACAGTGTGCAAGGCGGTGGGGATGAACGGATCACCCAGGGAGAGGAATACATACAGGACCCCAAGAACTCCAATATGTACACGTGTCCAGAGGAGAAAGAATAGGCAAAGGGGCTAAGAATGGTGAGGGGTGGAAACTACTGGGGGAAACTACCAGGCCAGAGGAGCAGGAGGGCCAGGAGAGTGGGGTCGCAACTCAACCAAGAACTTAAGGGTGTTTCAAGGCGGGAATGAAGTCAACCAGGTCAAATGCTGTTGAGAGGTCAATTATGTTAAGAATTAAAATGGATTTGCTTTGTGTAGTTAACTTTTTTCCAACTAGTCTACACCCTCGGCACCTTGAGAATTAGCAATATGATTGACACATATTTGTATCCATCTCCCCTCCAGTGGGCACAGGGCCAGTAACTGGTATGGACCTAGTAAATGAATATAGTCATTTGTTGCTTAACGACAGGATACGTTCTGAGAAATTCATCATTAGGTGATTTCATCGTTGTCCAAACATCGCAGAGTGTACTTAGACAAACATAGATGGTGTAGCCTATGCACCTATGCATTGTCAAGCCTATACACCTCGGCTTGACAGTATAGCCCATTGCTCCCAGGCTACAAACCCGTACAGCACGTTACTGTACTCATTACAATTGACAAGTGTAACACAATGGTAAGTATCTGTGTAACTAAATATATCTAAACATAGGAAAGGCACAGCAAAAATACAATATTGTAATCTTATGGGACCACCCTCATATATGTGGTCCGTCATCGATCGAAACGAGGCTATGCGGCCGGTGCATGACTGTGTGTCTCTCTGACACTCAGGGAAATTACAACTGTAAGGAGATGAAATCAACGTGAAGTCCAGTCATTTATCCCTCTAACAGAGTCATCTGAAGACAATCCATGGGCATGTATATATTTGTCAGTATCCCCCTGTCAAAACAAATGTGTGATAGGGACACACTTAGGGGACAGAGACACAGTACCTTAATCCAACCCTAAACCTTTCTAAAACCTTTTGCCACAACAGGGCCCTTGTTCGTCCCCCTGTCTGCAAATTACATGTCGGGCTCCTCTACCCCCTCTCCTGAGAAATCATTCCAGTGCTTTACTCCTCCATATAGTTTACATGTCTCACCCAATCTCTTTTTTTGTTTTGTTTTTTTGAGACAGAGTCTCACTCTGTTGCCAGGCTAGAGTGAGTGCCGTGGCGTCAGCCTAGCTCACAGCAACCTCCAACTCCTGGGCTCAAGCGATCCTCCTGCCTCAGCCTCCCGAATAGCTGGGACTACGGCATGCGCCACCATGCCCGGAATTTTTATCTATATATTTAGTTGGCACTAATTCTTTTATTTATAGTAGAGACAGAGGTCTCGCTCTTGCTCAGGCTGGTTTCGAATCTGACCTTGAGCGTTCCATCAAGCCTCAGCCTCAGAGTGCTGGATTACAGGAGTTGAGCCACCGCGCCCGCCCTACACTCCTCTTCGATGTGGCTTCCAGTTTTTCATCTCCTATGCCTCCTCTTAAAACTGAATTTTGGCAGGCACCTGTGGTCGAGCTGTATCTGACTTCTGGGAGGCCGAGGCAGGGGATTGCTCAGGTCATTGGAGTCGAACAGCCTGGCAAGAGAAACCCCGTCGTACTCATTAAACGAAAGAATTAATTGGCAGACTAATATATATAGGAAAAAATTACGGGGGCGATGGGGCGAAACCTGTAGTCCCCGTCTCGGAGCTGAGAGGAAGGATTCTTGAGCCAGGAGTCTGAGGTGCCTGTGAGGCTAGGCTGACACACGCAGCCTACTGCTGCCTTGGGCAACAAAGAGACTCTGTCTCAAAAAACTGAATTTTGATGCCAGGTGTGGTGGTTCACACCTGTAATCCTAGCACTCTGGGAGACCGAGGCAAGAGGATTGCTTGAGTTCAGGAGTTCGAGACCAGCCTGAGCAATAGCAAGACCCTGTCTCTACTAAAAACAGAAAAATTAGCTGTGTGGGAGGCTGAGGCAGGAGGATCACTTAAGACCAGGAGTTTAAGCTAGGCTGACGCTATGGCACTCTAGCCCAGGAAACAGAGTGAGACTCTGTCTCAGAAAAAAAGAAAGAAACTGAATTTTGCCAGGAGTCTCAAAGACAGCAAGTAGGGTTACAGAGTGAGGGCGGTGGAGAAGTAAAGGTAAAAAGAACGGCCATGGACTAGAGTCCAGACACAGACGCTAGAACCCAGGCCCTCCATCTCCTCACCCTCACCCTAAATACCCACATCTGCCAGAGCCAATAGCAAAAAGAGCCTGAGATTTGCACTCAAAGATCTAGGTTCAAAACTTAACTCTCCCACTGACTAGCTGTGTGACCCCGGGCAACTTACTTAACATCTCTGTGCTTATAATCTGGTAAGGCTCATTGGTAAAATAG